TGTCAGCCTTGGAAAATTTGCTGTTTACTGAAGCTGTCTGAGCATAAATTTGTCCAGAAGCCTAATGAGTTTATTGCAAATATGAGTATATGAAAACCCATGTTACAGGCAATGTTTGTGTATTTTGGTCTTTACAAGAGGAAGTGCAGAGTCCTCAGTGCAGTTGAATGGTCCTTCTGTACTGTGAGCACATGCCCACCTTCCAGTCCCCAGCTCTGGCTGTGGGAGTGCAGCCCCCTCTCTGCTGTTCAGTGCCATCACACCTTGTTCTTCTGGTGCCCGAGCTAATGCTGAAACTTCTTGTTCCAGCATCACAGCCTGAGCTTTCAGTTTGGCTCGGGGTTGTTAAGTTCTGTGTGAGCCTGGCATCAGCTGCCCTGTGCAAGTCTTGCGAGCCTTGGCTGCTGTCCAGTAGTGTTCGAGCAGGAAACAGGAGATACTTTTTTGATTGTGCTCTGTTTGTAAGCCTCAAGCATAACCAGCTGCAGTGGAGCAGCATTGATTGGCTTTTTTCCTTTTTTTTTTTTTTTTTTTTTTTTTTTAAGCGTTTCAAGGGTTCCAGTATATTTAATAATTTTTAATGCTTTTTTAAAGCTGACCGTGCAACTCTGTGAGTGGATAGTGTAGTAGCATGTGTATATATAACTGAATTTCATTTTCTTGACCTATGTTAAGAATAATTTAATGAAAAGACACTAGAAAATTCATTAAGATCTCCTGCATTTCACGTTAAATAGACCCATATTAATTATGATTCTTAGAATCCCGGTGGTATGGAGGTGGTTGAATAACTTCTTGAAATGTATGTTAACACATTAGGTTTCATCTTCCAGTTCACTATTTGGAGGAGAGGGAGGGAAAAAACAAACAAAACCTCACCCAATCTGAAGTAAGAAAGCAGACCTTTAGGTAAACTGCCAGGGTGTTTTCTTATGCCTTTTGGAGGTGGAACAAGGACATGAGGGCTTGGGACACATCAGCGTCCTAAGAGCAGCTTGTGAGAGTACTGCCTGTGTGCTGCTGCACTGTGTCCTCTGATGCTGTCAGCAGTAGGTGGGTGCTGAGGAAGGCGTGCCTGTGTGGCTGGCCCAGCAAGGTGCAGCTGTTTGGAAATCTACAGCCATTGTTTCCAGAGTGCTGTTCTTTGGTTTCAACCGGGCTGACCAGTTTAGGACACTAAGGTTTGCCATTTGAAGTGCTTACTAGATGCAGAGGACTCCAACTTCCGGATCTAAAAGTAGAGTGTATATATGATGTTAAATGGACCTCGGCCCTCCAGAAGCAATCATCCTTTAGAAAAACAAGCAAACAAAACCGAACAATGAGTAAAACTAAGGGAACTTATTATTAAAAAACAAAAAAACCAAAACAACAACAACAACAAAAAACAAAACCAAAAAAACCCAAAACAACAACAACAACAAAAAAACCCCTAAAAAATACCTGCCTTGATTGACAGTGCAATCCAGAGTTAAGCAAAGGACATGGCATCCTTTTTGAAAAGAAACTGAACTAACTGTACCTGACCAGCACGTTGTGAGCAGTGTAAATTTGTGCTGCCGTGTTAGCAGTTACGTGGAGTACTTAAATCTATGACTAACATTTTCCACACTCATTAATCTTTTGACTGAAGTATATTTATATTTTTCAAGTGTAGATGTTGTTTATTCTTTGACATCAATTACTGAATGTCTCCAGGTAAGTCCAAAACTGAAAAATCATGGTCTGTAGCATGTAGTAATGGAAGCCACGTATTGCTATGGCTGATGGTGATGTTTTCTACAGGAATGTGGTGTATTTTTGTGTTGTAGTGCTGCCATCTGTTAAGACAAGGACGTTAGTGTCTGAATTCTGGCAAATACATTTCAATTTTTTATGGACTTTGAGCTATGAAAATAGCATTTGAAAAGGCACATTTCATGCAATTAGGTGGTGTGTAGCACTTGGTCTCCTGAGATAACTTCTCCCTGTTTGTAAAGACTTAGTTGTGGTGAAGAAAAAAGTTGCAAGGATTTCACGTTTTTCCCAGATAGCTTTTTCTTTTTTACAAGTGTGAATTAAAAAAAATCCTCCAGTGTGATGTAGCAGAGAACTGTGGTTGGTGCAGAGGGGCAGGCTGTCTGCTTTGGTTTCTTTAAGAGTCGTTGGTAGTCTCACCTTTAGTTAGAGGCTAGGGCACACCAACTGGAAGAGTAGCTGTGCCATACAGCATAAGACATGTACTGCTGAAGCAGAAGGTGAGGCTGTATGTGTGCCTTCCTGCTACACCAGCTATTATTTGCCTGCAGTTTTGTTTAATTTCTCAGGAACTCTGGAGTATTTATTAAAATGGAAATTTTCAGTCTCCCTCTTGGTCTTGCCTATGTTGTTTTCCCGTATTTACATCAGTTCAGTCTGAATCAGCTTTCCTGATTGTGGGTATTTGTCTATTGCACTGCACACCATTCCCCTCTTCATTGCACTGCATGACATTCAGCAGTGCTCTGTCACCCCTGGCCTGCTCTTCTGAGGGTGATGAAGACTCTTTAATTGAATACATCTTTATAAGTCATGTGGTGAAGACGGGGAGGCATTTACTCCTGCATGATTAGCGTAAGCACATCTGGAAATATTAGTCAGATTTGGTTTTTTGGGTGCTGGTGGTGTAACTGCTTTGCCTCTCACTTCATCTGTTGGTGGTTTTCCGGGAGCCACTGTGTATGGAGGTGGTAGATTTGCAGAGGGAGATCCTCATGGGACATGCTTCAAGAAGAGAATGTTGTTATGTTTAAATGCTTGCATTAGTGTTTTAGTTTTGAGTGCTAACTACTTGGCAGCATTTTCAAGCATCATTTCACTAGTAAATTATAACATGAAAAAACATCTTTGGAAAAATAGAAATTATCATCTGTAATTTAAATACAAATAAGTATTACTCTGTTGTGGGTTGATCGTCAAGGTGAAAGGCATGCCTCTCTGTGAAAACAGTCTTCAAGCAGCAAAATCCAATTCTTGCCTGCATTGAGAAATGGTACAAGAGATGAGTTTTGCACCCTTACCATTTTGTGTGATCAAAATGCCAAATTACTCTAAAATGCAAATCGGTCATGCAGTCAAAAAATAAAAATAAAAATGTAGAAGGACTTCCGTATATGGGCATGAATCACTGATCTCTGCCTTTCCTCTACAAAAGCAACAAAAAACCTCAGAAGTTAATATGTCTTCCTTGCTTACTGTGATAGAACACGTTTGTTATCTTTTCAGTTCTTTATTTCATTGTAAAAGCAAGCAGTGAGGTGCAGTCTTGTGCTAAGTAAGTTTTTCAGCGTGGTTGTGTCACCGTGGCAGGGAGGCTGCCAGGGGATGTGGTGGAGCCTGGAGGAGGCTGTCAGCGCTGGCATCCTGCAGCTGGCTGGGAAGTTGCAAGTTGCAGAGTTGTGCAGCATCTGTCCACCAGCTGTTTTCTTTTTTTGTCTCCTCTCTATTATTTTTAGAAATCTTCCCATTTCTACTTTGTTTATTTTGCCTCCTGCATCAGTTTGATCACACGTTTTCTGCTGACCTGCCTGAAATTGCTTCTTTGGATTTCTTTTATCTTTGTATTAATTACAGCTAATAGGGAAACCAAAGCCCCAAACTGTATCCTTGATGAAGAAGTACTATGAATACAAAGAGGAAGCTGCTGTGAGCCCTGATTGCTGGGAGTGGGTAGTGGTACTGAGATGGGTGGGATGCCTGCTTTGATGGGAGAGAGGACAAATAGTGATTGGCTGTGTGTGTCCTGCCTGCTGCTCAGCTCACTGCTGCGGTGTGGCAAGAAACTTTGCAAAGCTGCTCGGTGATGACTTGATCCATTAGCTGCGTGAACAGGGTGATGCTGTAAGAGTGATGTTGCTGTGAACATGAGTGGTTTGTTAGGATTTCTTAAATGTTTTGCAATGAGCTTTAAAAAACTTTGTCTAAGGTTCCCTGTTTTCTCTTGGGAGCTATTTCACTCTTATAATAGTGTCAAAAGGAATTACTGGGAAGATTTATTTTGTGTCTGTGTTTTAAAGGAGATAGTAGCTTGCATGCTTTCATGCTGAACTTCAGTTTAATGCTAGGTGAAAATCTTGTGTGATAGTTGTAGAATAAGGTTTGTGGGACATTAATAACTCTGTGTGCAGGAAGGCATGCTTGCAGTGTTTGAAGTATACAGATTTATCTGATTAAAATTATCGTAGGAATTTTCCTGGTGGTAAAGATTTAAGAGTTACCAGCAATGAACTTCCAGGATTGGAAACAGGAAGTAAATCAGTTGGACACCAAAAAGCTGGAATAGTTTTGCAGTCAGATGTCTCTCTCATTAATCTGGAAGCCTTGCCAGGTTTGATCAAGTGGCAGACAGCAGTGCTTTGTGTTTGTGTGTGTTGAAACAGTTGTTGAGGGGCTTCCTTTTGTAAGACTTGATTCCATTGCTTGTGTTCAAGGCTGCTGGTGAGGTTTCTGTTGTATTCTGTGATTGTGTTCTTCTGAGCAGAGAGAGCATGATGCTCCTCGTAGGCACCAGTAAAGCTGGATGCTGCACCTGCTTCCCTGCCTCTGCTTGCCTACCATGTAAAATCTGTGGATGAATTAATAGAGCTTAAATAGCATGTGTGCAGTTGTAACTCTTCTGCTGGTCTGCTATCTCCTACTCTTCCTAGAGGTCTGAGCTGCTGGCCTCAGGTGTTTGTAGTTTGACAAGGGCCTGGTGCCTCTGAAGAGTGATGAGTTGCAGCTTCCATCAGACAGGGCCTTTGCATGGCTCTGGTCTTCCAAGTGTTTGGAGCCTGTCCAGTGTGTTCACATATGTTTTATAGAACAGCTGAAGACAAGTAAACTTCCTTCTCCAAACTGCAGAACTGGAGTAGTTAGATGTTGGTAAACTAAAGAATGCTAATGAGAATATTAGTTCTTCAATTTTACTGCTGGCTTTGTTGTTTGTAAATTACAGCATAATTGGATTACAGTGTAATGACTGTTTATGTTTCTCTTTTCAGGCCTTAAAGGACACTTTTGCCTGATAGAATGGATGAGCAGTCACAAGGCATGCAGGGGCCCACAGCTCCGCCATTTCAGCCACAGGTATCTTTTTTTTTTTTTTTCTGAACAGTTACTCAAGAACAGAGGCTAGCAGTTCTTATATAGAGAAATTAGAAAACATTATTCCTTGCGGAGAGGGAAGGAAGGTTTGAAGAGGTATAATGTAATTTTGGTGATCTTGAAATACAGTTGATAGTCCTGTGTTTGATAGAAAACTTTTTTTTCTTTTACTGCATTACCACTCCACTACCATGGAGTGGGAGAATGAGGGAAAGGTAAAGGCAGTAGTTTTGCTGGGAGGTGATTAAGTGTCAAACACTCCATGCTTCAAAACGAGGACTGAATTACTTTACTTACTTCAGATATATCTTCAACTTGCTTTTCTTACATCTCCCAGTGATGTGAATTAATGCCTTTCCCTATTGAAACCGGGCAGGAGAAATTCTCAGCAGATGTAGTTCTATTAGAAAGAAGATGTGTAAGAAATGTAGTCTTGGAATATTTGTTGGTAGAAGGAAGGATAAAGCTGATCTGTTGACATACATTACTGGGATATTGCTGTTTGACAGTTTTAGGAGATGTTTGTACGAGACTGCAAGAACCTGTGGTGGTGAAACTTACACTATTTACTGTGGCAACAATTCAAAAATAAAAGCTGTACTGTTTTTTTTTTTTCTGAAGCTGAAGCCCATGTTTGTAGTTCTCGTTAACAGCATAGATTATAGCCAGTGAAGTACACAAGTTACCCTATGACTACAGATATTCCTGTGAAAATGCATTTTTGAGGACTGGTTCTCTTTGGAAATACTGCTCTCACCTAGAAATTCAGTTTAGGAATTCATGCTAGTAAAATAGCTTTTCAGTTTTATTGTTACAAGGAGTGTAATTGGTCTACGTGAAATAGTTTCCCTCTTACTTGATCATTGGAATATTTGAATTGCTGCGATGAAATTTTTTGCATTTAAGCTGAATCTGCAAATAATAGGAAGTCTTATAGAATTTGTTTATTTATTGTTCAGTCCAGATCAGTCTTTGTCTTGCTGTAGTGCTCTGCCACACACAGAAATGGAGCAGTGTTGAGGAGCTTGTAATAGTCACAGGATCATGATTAAGGTTGGAAAAGACTTCTAAGATCATATGGTCCAATCATCCACCTACTGCCTATATTGTCCACTAAACCATGTCCCTTAATACAGCATCCAAACATTTCTTCAACACCTCCACCGCCTCCCTGGGCAGCCCATTCCAGTGTCCAATTGCTCTTTAAGCAAAGTTTTTCATAATATCCAACCTGAACCTCCCCTGGCATTATTTAAGGCCATTTTCCCATCTTGCTGTTATCTTGGAGAAGAGGCCACCCCCTACCTTGCCACAGCCTCCTTTCAAGGAGTTGTTGAGACCAGTAAGGTCTCACCTGAGCTTCCTCTTCTCTGAAGGATGTTGAGAACCTCTTGCAGAGGCTTGCACACCAGAGGAGCTGGTGTGGGTTGTTCACTGGGCGCGCTGTACGATGTGAGAGTTGGTGAATAAAGACTTCACTGTTTTTTTCAGTAGTCTTGGATTTTTGACATCTATTTTATTGTCTGCCTCCCTTGCTCACTACTGGAGTTCAGTGATACTTTATGGGTAGTTAGATGCTTTTGAATCATTGAGATGGCAATTGCACACAAGTGCACAAGTTTGAAAAAATACCATATTGCACATCTTTGAGAGCTCCTGTCTAGCATAGTGTCAGAAGTTAAGTGAATCCTTGCGTTACCGCGGCCTTTACCCAGGTACGCTTTGCCTTGCTGGCAAAAGTGTGTGCTGGTGCTTTTCTGAGGCTGAAACAGGTCTGAGTGCTAAAGTCTCTGCTTAAGGTTGTCTTCAATTATTTGTCCTACAAATGAGCTCTCGGGGCCTTGAGTAATTAGTGTATAACCCTGTTTCGCTTAATTCTTTCTAGCAGAAAATTTTAAACTGATATTCTCCCTACTTGCTGCTATTTCCATGCTCAAGGTTATAGCTGAGAAATTAAATGTACGTAAGAGTACTCAAAACAGAAGAAAATATTCTTGCAGTTTTAGTACACTGATTGGCTTAAGTTTAGAAAACAAACTGGAGATGAGGAAGCAACTCATAGATTATTTTGATGTTGTAAGACAGATTATCTCTTGCATGGGAGTTGAGATATTCCAAGCGTCCCCAGATTTACTCAGTGAATAAAATGTAATGTGATCATTAGTGAAGTGTGCATAATCTGCTCTGTTATGGTCTCAGACTGAAAGAAGTCTTCCTCCTGCACAGGCTCATTTCTCTACAAATTGCACTGCGGACAGGCGAGACCCAGTGGTGGTTGGAGATGTGCAGCTATGTTGCTTCTCATGTCAGCTCTCCACATCTAAATTGTATGACAGGACAAGGGAGCAGATGAGACAAGCTGTCACTCAGCCACGCTGCCCTTTGAAGAAAGGCCATGGGGGGGAAAAGGTGCCGCAAATGGGCTGTGAAGTTTACATACACTGCCCACTGTTAAACAGATTACCTCTAATGAAGTGTCTAATGCTCAGGCCATATCAGCCTAATCCTTGGTGGCAGTTCATCCCTCAACTGCCAAAAAACACGGCCCTCTGGCCCTCTCTCGCCACTCTGGCCGCCAAGCACAGGGAGGTGCCCGGTCTTAATAAAGCAAGACAGTGTGTGATCTGACATGCAAATGTAGGTCATTGCATATGTAAATGTGTGATTACAAACCTGCATGCCAAAACACATTAGTGAGACTTTGCTCTCAGCATGCGGTTGTCACACTGCCTCAGTGGTTCACGCTAATATTTGTCAAGTTACTGTGCAGACAGAGGCTGCGACTCCCGATTCAAATGGGAGGTGCACAATACTTTTCAAATAAAGCCTGTTTTAACACTAGCTTACAGCTCTATGTAGAGAATTTTAAATCTTAGCAGTGTGCAACTTTCGATGTTTTCCCTAAAAGCACTACAAAGACCTCATTAAGCTAGGTCTTTTGTTGTAGAGTGCATTTGTGCAGTTATGCTACACCACTTTTGTCAAAACAGGAGCCCTAATATTTTGACTTCTGGAGCAACAGAAGTATCTATAAAAACATATTGTGTAGTTACATAAGTGTCTGCATAAGTATCCTGTTATGCAAACTGATCCCTTATTGCTTCTATTACCTGTTTAAATATATTGCAACACTTTTAAATTCTCGTCAAAGAAAATAGTAATGAATGCTTTCATTAGAAAGAACGTATCATAGAATGTATTATTACTTTAAACAGTTTAGGTTCTAATATAATAGAATAAAGCAAATTTAATTATTCAAACTGTATATTTTCAAACAGCTCTTTACACCTTCTGTGATTACAGAATCACAGAATGGCCAGGGTTGGAAGGGACCTCAAGGATCATGAATCTCCAACCCCCCTGTCTTACTGAATTAAATACAACACTTAGAGCTGTGTGTTTTTGAGGATTGGGATCTCTGTGTAGCTAGTATCTGTTTCTGCAAGTGATGCTAACTTCTTTGTAATGTTTGTTCTAGAAAGCCTTGCGACCTGACATGGGCTATAATACACTTGCCAATTTCCGAATAGAGAAAAAGATTGGCCGTGGCCAGTTCAGTGAAGTTTACAGAGCAACCTGCCTGTTGGATGGGGTACCAGTAGCACTGAAGAAGGTTCAGGTAAGGATTGCTTTACTTTTAGTACACGTCAAGTGTAAGCCTCGCAGTGATTTATAGGTACTCAAAAGTATACAGTTAAATTTGAAAGGCGTACGTTGTTTGGTTGTGACGTTAATGAATTTCTAAATGCTTAACTTCTAGATACTAGAAGAATCTAGATAAGAAATCAAGAGCTTTCAAATTTTATGACAAGACTCAATACAGAACTATGCAGACTGAAAACGTGATTCAGTGTTGCTGAGAGCTGGTGCTGTTTGAAAGTCATTTTCAGGTAGCAATCATGCTCCAAAAGTGCTTAAATCAAACAAGGTGTATACGTAGTCAACCTTGTCATAATTGAAATGAATTCTTGTTTCAAAAGACTTGAGTATTACATAGAACATAAATGAACCGGAAACTGTGCTTCAAGACATAGCTCAGTGCTTCCTTCAGACTGCAGGACACAGCTGACTTTAAATTAATCTTTTCATGAATAATACATCGATGTTCAGGACCGTAGTTAATAAATAAATGCAACTGCACATTGGAGTTGAGTGAATTACATTGGTCAGAATTTGTGTGTTCTTAAGGGCCCAAATGTTTCCATGATTAAATGCTTAAACAGTAGTGCAACAGCAGTTCTGTTGGAAAGGACGGAAGAGCAGCAAACTGATAAAGTTACTGATGCCAGGAAACATGATGAACACGTAAGTCTTAGCATAAGGCACTAGGAGGCCTGATAGTTTGTTCTTGGTGGATAGTTATTTTTTTTAAAAAGTAACAACTTTTATGTGATGATTTAAGTGGAAAAAGTCTTGCTTTTTTTATTGTTGTGCAAATGAAAGATAGCTTGATCTGAGGGTTAAGTATTATTTCTAATGTGTTTTGTTTGGAGTGGCTTATTGATCTTTATTCTAAAACTGTTCCCCTTAAAAATACTCTACTGGGTTTTCTTTAAAAATTCTTTGGCAATTTGTGTAATTTTGAAATTGAAACTTAAATTGTCATTGCAGTACTGATCTCTTGAGAGATATCAAGCTTATTACTTGAGGGAGGGTTGCGATCGTCCCAAAGGACATTTAGTTACATTAATTTATTGCCAAACAACGTGTGTCAGGTTTCAGAGACCATTTTCTAGTGCTTTTTGGAATGTAATAGTTTTTATTTTGCTGTGCTGTTGCGTATGCTGTAAATTTCTCTGCCATATCTTGACTCTCTGTTCCATTCCCATGATTTCTTCTGCTTTGCAGAACTGTGACGCAGGGTGAGAATGAGCGGTCATTTAGAGGGGGGGGGAAAAAAAAAGGCTTGTTTCCCCCTTCTGGGAAAACTGCCAGATATATACCACTTCAAAAGCTGAAATACATTCTAAGAACTTTGATCAACAGTCTTAAAACATTAGGCTAATTCTTCCTTCATTTTCAGTGCATGAGAAACCGAAAAGGTCAAATGTGACTTGAAAAGCATGTCAATTAAGGAGGATGTGAATGCCATGGTGCTTGAAGACAGTCATAAAATCTAGCCTTTCACTGTTAACTATGAAATTTTTGTAACAATGTTTGCATTAAGAATACAGAGACATTATAGTGTGTACTATTAATGATATTTCAAGTTAGTGTATAAAGCTGAATTTTCGTGTCAGAAAAAAAATAAATAATTGTCTATGAAGAAGACATCGTGCTGTCCTTACCTAGGTGATGACTGAACTATGTAGATTGCTCTGAAAGTAATGCCTGCTATCAGTTTACATGGAAATGATGAGAGAGAGCACACTTATACTACTTGATAGAGCTAATTCTCAGCTACAAAACATTCCTTTCAATACGGTCACCACTACAATCTGTGTGTTTTCACTGGTGATGATCAAGAGCATGCATGCTATGCCCTGCTTCTGAAGCACACCATCCACCACCTCACTTTGCTGCATCCACTGTTTGGTCTCCGTGAAATGGTCAACTAGCATCGATAAACATCAATGGGTGCAGTTTTTCCCATGTGGAGGAATTTGGTGACAGACCTCTGTTTCATATGCACTTCCATGTCAGACGCCATTGTGAGACGTTCCATCTGCTGCCTTCTGTCACATGGCAATGAAAGTGAACAGTATTGGTGGGAAGGTTTGGCATCTATTGCAATCCCACCGCTAGCTGCCTCTTATTGCATGGGCCAACACAATAGAACAGAAGGCATTACTTTCAGCGCAACCTTTGTAGCTTCTCTGCTATAGAAACCATCTAATAAATATCTAAAAGTAGAATTGGTGGCTAGTAAGGAATGAGTCAAGTGTTGCAGCTCTTTCCAAGGGCTTCATCCTAGAGTTATAAGCATCCAATGTAAACTGTGCTTCCTTCAAACTGCATCCTGTGAATGTTCCTGAATAGTGCACAGCAGGAGGGCTGATGCCATGTGATCTGTAAAATCACTTTCCATATGAGGGCTGGGTCCATGTAGAAGACAGTTATTTGAATGGAAGGTGTGATTTAGGTATCCCGTAGGGGGAAGCAAAATAAATATTAACCGTATCTTGAATTGTTACCAGCAGTTCAAATGTTTGGTGATAGGTCAGATGTGTCACTGATCGTTTGGCATGGCTGTGTTGGCTTGTGTAGTTGGTATGTAAAGGGGTTCTATTTGGACAGGAGACCAACTTGTTACTCTGCTTCTGTGGCTTTCCTTAAGATTTTCCTAGAAATGCTATTTTAGGTAATCGCTGTCAATTCGTTATGAAATGTGTTTTTAATAGTTCTAGTGAGAAGTGATTGCTTTTTAGAGGATTTCCTCTCAGTCTACTCTATGATGATGATGCTTTAAATTTCAGTCACTTATTTAAAATTAAAACACCACTTTGGTGTTTCATTAATGAAAGCTTAGTATAGACCAAGTGGGAAAAGTAGAACTTATTTTCATCAGGAGAGACATACTCTGTTTCTCTGTATTTTAGACCTGTGCTTGGTTTTTCCACTTTCCCCCATTGAGACAATATCTCTTAAATCCTTTAACTTTGTGTTTAGAAAAGCAAACAAACAAAAACCAGATGGAGATCTGGGCTTTCTTCTACTTTTGCCATTCTTCTTCCTTTTTCATCTCACATCTTAAGTACTGCGGGCCTGCATTTCTGACTTTTGCAAGTCTTGCACCTCCAACCCTGCTTCATTTTCCTGGCAAGGCTGAGTCTATAGTTAATCCCTTTCTGTGGTTCTCTGTTTGTCTTTGCCCACAAACTCTTCTCTAACTTAGACTTAGCCTTAGAGTTACTGGATCTCAGGATGCTATTTGTTCCAATAAGACTGCCAATTTTGATTATTATTTATTTGTTTTTAATGAAGCTTTCCAACAAGAATGTTTATTTTCTGCTATTGAAATTTTATTTGGCTGCAATATGCACAATGTTGATAAATGTTATACTAATGTTATATAAATGTTAATCTATGAAACGGATATTCGTAGAACTCTGTGTGCAGAAGCATGCGGTGGTAACGTGCTGTGGGAGAAAGGACAAGCAGATGGTGACAGAAACCACTCTCACTGAAATCGTTGTTGCTTCTGAGTCCAGATGCTACGGAGTAATAGTATTCTTGGTTTGGTTTTCAGCTGATTCTGTAGCAGTGTGAAAACTGTTGAACTTGCAATTGCTTTCTATTAACTTAAAAAGACAACAAAATGTTGTGTTTTCTTCTGGTTGTACTGTTTTTTGTTTCATTTTTTGGTGTGTTCTTGGCCTCTTCATAATTAGGAGATGGTTTATGTAGTAATCTGGTTCTGTCTTTTTCAGTGGATCCCTGTTTTTGAGATGCTGTTGAAGTATTACCAAAGTAAAACTAGAATTACAAGACAAATCTTTATTGCTTCACTTTCTTTAATGTTGAAGTAATACTTTGAACCGAACAGAAATTGGTGAAGATCAGCCACATGGAAGGTTTTGAATGCAACAGTCTAAATTTGAAGAGCTTCTTGGTAACTTTCCAGCCTGATGTTTGAAGTGGACTGAACGGGCCACGCCTGATGGGGAAGCAGCATGTGTTTACTACTACTGTAAATAATCCTGACCAGAGAATCATCACAGCTACATTGTGGGCAGTAAGAACTCCAGCTGTCCCTTAGGGAAGGAAGCAACTGCTAGGTTCTGGAAGAAATCTTGTTCTTGAAGGACAAAACCTACTCAGCTATCAGTGATTTACAGATGATGTTCTACAGGCGGTGTTCTACAGTTATACTTGCTTTAGCATCTCTGATCTTTTTGTCTTCATTCTAGCCAGGAGCCTACAAAAAATACTCAAGAGCCAAGGCTGGAAATGAAATTTTAGAATGCTACAGAATGCCAAAAATGGGAGTCAGCGAGGAGATGATGGGTTCTATGGCACATTATAAACGCAGTCTTTGTCCCACAGGATAAGATCTTGATCAGTTAAAATGGTTACCTTTTCCACTTAGATTTTCCCTACTGCTTGACATACCATCTTTTCCTTCAAGGGTGTTAGGCTGGACTAACTTTTTTGACAATCCTTCTCAGTGGTATTGGTCTTAGTAAGATGCTCCAGCTATTTCAGCCCTATTGGAAGGGTCTGTGTGTCTGTAAACCTTTGCTAGTCTCCCCCTTTCTTTGCTGTTTGACTAAGTCTCTGTCCTTAGAATGGCATATCAGTTCTCTTGGTGATTGGTCAGTACATTACGATACAGGCAGGTCTGTGGATGAACAGTTGGTTTTGCTGTATGGGGATGTGAACTGTGAAACTAGCATGAACTTAAATATAAACTGCTTAAAATAGTATATTTTAAGAATGTAAGTGTCTGGGCAGTGACTGTAAGGTTATATTTGCTCAATGTGGTATTTTTAAAAATAAACTTTAGCTACTCAGAATATCTCCTGAAACTGAGTTTCAACAGAATTGCAGATTCGTCACGTTTCTGCCTATGCTGTTCCTCCTTCTCTTCCCTTTCATTCAAAAAATTGGAGACCTCTATATTAGAGGTGTAAACAATGCATCCTTTTATCCAGCGCCTAACATTCATTATTGATTGTGCGTTGTCAGTGGATTGCTACTCCAGGCCTGAATTAGAGATAATTAATCTTAGGAAAGCACTTGTAATTTCACACTTTATGGAGCACTATTGTCTCAGCACAGCAGTGGCAAAATACTGTAATGCTCGTTGTTGCTGTTCAGTATTCTCTCTTAATATTTATGTGCATTTGAGTCTTTATTTTGCTTGTTTGTCTGTAGGTTTATGTTGCAGCAGAGATGTTTGTGTTTTGCTTTAGAAATACTTTTAAAGTATTTCTATTGTAAATCAAACTTGATACAAATGGGTTAAGTAGTCATTTAAACAGTGAGGCTAAAAATCCCTTTCTTAGTACTGGAGAGGATTTCTTGCAGAAGTGATGAAGGAGCAAGCATTCCTCTTCTAGAGCGGGGGGGTGAAGTAGGCTCCCATCTTATCGTGTTTTGAAAGTGGTGCTATTTGAAATTGACACTGACACATTCATTTTTACTTGAGAAGTTGAGTTAAATTGGTAGTTGGTGATCGAGCAAATACAGTCTGCACTTAGAAGCTAAGGCTTGATGTTTTCTCTTGTGGCTGTTGTGAAACCTTCTCCTCGCACAGAGCTTTGAGCAGCAGTAGGTGCGTATGTCAGCCTGCATGCAAGAAGTGGACTCAGGAAGCTGATTGCACGTATTGCAGCCGCCTTGTTTAGTTTACACATCTGCCTAGGGAACAGTTTGTGTTCTGTGCCTTAAAATAGATCACGAGTGGTTCTGTAAGTACTGGGATCTCCTGACAGCGCTTACTGCTGATGCTTCTAGAATGTGGAAGGAACAGTTTTGGTGAGGGCTTGAAGAGGTCCTCTCGCATTGCTCCACCTCTGTTTGCTGGAGTGCTTTCAGGAATTGCTAAATAGGGTACAGCCCTTGTCATAATGACATTTTGATGATGCTTTGTGAAAACTGATGCATTGGAAAAATATTGATATGCAGAAGTTGTATTTAATAGGTTTTCCACAGCAAACATTTAGTTACTTTGTAGAAATGTTAATCTTACCATAGTCCTTGAAAATGAAAATGAGGTTAAAATAATACAAATTCCATCTACCGTTGTGGTTACACTTTGTGCCGTTTGGCACCTATAGCCTTAGTTATGCTAATGCTGATGTTGTCAGTGAAGTCAAGAGCTAGTATTTATTGTTAGCCTAACAAATGCCCTGATAATCTAATCAGGATGCAGCAGGATTTATTACTGACCAGCTAGACTGCATGTGTGAGCACTGCGTAATTACTACAGTAATTACTGCTGGCTCCCAGCAGTCCTGTGCAAACCTCCTCAGAGACTTCCACCACAAGTGCCCAGAGCTCCTTGCTGGGAGGAGGAGGATGGCTGACAGTTCCTTCCTCCTCAGCACGTCTCCACTATGCTGGATGCTTCCAGGCTGCCTGTCATTAATGTTTTTTGATGGTCCCAAAGATTAATCACTTTAATTTTGTTAGATCTTTGTTGTGCAAATCTGTCACCTGGCTGTAACAGTGCAGGTACAGGGAAGACCAGTCACTTACCTGCTGGGTATGTGCTGCTATAGCTAAAAGAGAGAAAATAAGTTAGAGCTGAGAGAAGTGATACCTGTGTGGTAATCTGTCTCCTGCAATTCCTGTAGAACAGGTGCTCTGATTCCTACCAGGTGCCTCATGTTATTTTTGACTTGTGCTTGAAAGGATGTTCTGAAGCTTTTAACCTCTTTCACTGGGGCTTCTGTTTTCTGGCGTGAGATGTTCTTCAGTGCTGAATTACCTTCTGATGTTGAAGTGCAGAGGGTTTTTGTTGTGCTCACATGAAGCTTCTCTTGAGCTAACCTGGCTCATGGTGGTTGTTTTTTTGTTTGTTTGTTTGCTTAGTTTTTGTTCTTAGTCTTTTCATTGGAGGAAGTTAATATCTTTGCAGTCGGATTTCTGCATTTCTAGAAGGTGATTCTTATAGTCCTTTGGGGTTATGTCTGGGCTTGGAATGTTGAATAGCAACATGCAGAGGTTTGGCAAAGAGCTGGTTATCCTACATTCATGAACAGTAAATTGAAGTGTGTGTTTCCAAAGCAAACTTAGTAGAGAGTATTGATGCTTGATTGCTTAGAAATACTCTGCACCCTGAAAAGAGTTTATGAAGCACGCTCATGGTAAAAGGAGCAGAAATGTCAGATAAGGAATTGAGTGAGGAATTGAGTTTTCTTGAGAGAGTCATTAGTGGATGCAGACTACCTTTTTTCTTTCTTTTTCTTCACACAGTGACAATCTTTGGGTTTTCAATTTTGAAATTGTGCTTTGAATAATTCCTCTAAGCATTATGAGTAGATCTTGTGTACAGTTTTCAGTCCCAAATTCTGTTTGCAGCTTTGATTAGGGCTCCCCAGTGTGTTGGAGTTCTCCATGCCCACATCTGGATCCCTCCATCGTTCTTAAGACATGTTCTTAACTCAGTATCTAGAACTTAGCCAACAGAATCACAGAATTGTAGGGGTTGGAAGGGACCTCTAGAGATCATCGAGACCAACCCCCGTGCCAAAGTAGATTCCCTAAACCAGGTCGCAGAGGTAGGCGTCCAGGCAAGTCTTGAATAACTCCAGAGAAGGAGATTCCACAACTGCCCTTGGCAGCCTGTTCCAGTGCTCCATGTGGAACTTCAAGACATGCACCTGTACTGATCCTCTTTTACATCCCCTGCTACCCAGTATGCTTTAATGGATTGTTTTGAGGAGAGATGTGTGCATTTTTCCTTTCGCTAGTCTTTTAGTTTGCTGGGAAAGCCATTTATGATCTCATGCCTTCCCAGTGACCCACTGTAAATGAGGGTCACTAGAGGGTCACATGTTTCTCTAGTATTTACAAGCTTCCTAGGAAAGTTATTACAGTCCTTCACGACTGTAGCAAATGGTAGGATTGTTGGCGTATTTCAAAATGATTAAAAGGTGATGTTTTTTTATTCAGAGTTGCGATCTATAGCAGATGCAGACGATTTCATCTCTTTGGCTAGATGTGATCCTGACCTTAATAAGTAAACTCTGTTGTCTTTTCCATGTGTTATTTATCTTCTAATACTTGTACCTATAGCTTCATATACAGTACTCTTTCCTGTTACATCTGAAGTTGCTTTATTTCTTAGTGTTAGCATTGCTTTCTTGTGACTTACCCTGCTGTTTCTGTTATGGCCTCCAGAACCTCCTCCTTGAGGAGGAGCTCTTGTTACATGCAGCTCAGTATATTACCCACTGTCCTGGTGTCAGTATACAAGTAGTTGTGAGATTTTTTTTATTCGCTTTCTCACTTGGTAGTTTTCTTTCCTTCTCTCCCGTTTCTTCTTTTCCATCTCCAGGTTTGGCATTTCAGTAGCGCTTTTGTGTGGGTGTTGTGTACTCAAAGGACTGTTAGTCTGTGTCTTTGTATCTGGGATTAGTTGTGAGTTGTGTACATGGAAGTTTTCAGGTGTGAAGATAGAAGGAGCTTATGTCAAATGTAAGCACTAGAATGTGCATAAGGATTCTTAATGGCCAGGAAAAAAATTACCTCTTGCACAGTTAAGTTAATTTAAATTTTTGTTCAGTTTTGTTCACAATTTACTGTTCAGTAAAGATGAGATTGATTGCAGAGTGATTTGAAGCAGATGGGAGGTGGGGAAAAAAATGAAGAACAGAGATGCTGAACTGTAAAAGGCTGTAAGAGTCAAGGTGACAGATAACGGTTTAGAAAAAAGCGCTGTAGTAAACAAATTACAGAACTCAAATCACTTCTTCCTTTGCTGAAGGGCAAGAAATGGAAGAGAAGGAATCAGAGGTGACAGTGAAGTTTTGATCCTGAGGGAACAGAAGTGTATGCTGTCTTTAAAATGGAGACAGAAGGCTGTAGCAAGCGACTAGGGAAGAAGGGCTAGCTCAACCTTAGAAAGAATCAGTTTCTGATAATAGTGTGGGAGGTATGGGAGAGGAAGCTGACATCTGGATTAGAACTGACTTGAAGGATAGGTGCTGAATTATTTCCATGTATTTGAACAGATGAGTAGAGGTGGCAGCTAAGCTGGCAGGAAACTTGTACTTTCAATGTACCTGTTTCCTACAGTGGGGCTGCAAGAATTGGTAGAGCAGCAAATCAGTACTTGGGGAGTGCGATGTTAACAACTGCGCAGAGAGCATTAGGAGTATTTCTGATTGCAGTATTACCTTTTGTCATGTATGGAGCGCGTAACTTGAGCTGCTGTGCAGATGCTGTGAGTTTAAAAAAAAAAAAAAAAAAGAAAAAAGAAAAAAATCACTCAGTGTCCTATTTAATCAGTTGATGAATTTATCTCATCTCTTATGCACAGATATTTGATTTAATGGATGCCAAAGCCCGTGCTGACTGCATCAAAGAAATAGATCTTCTAAAGGTAAAAGATTAGTTTTAAAATAATAAAAAATTGCAGCTATCATTGAAGTACATTTTTTTTTTTCCCACAGATATATTTGAAAGTGTCCACTGCTACTTACGTAGAGCTTTTATAAGTCTCACTTCAGGAATCTTTAATTGCTTTGAGAGTTAACATTGAGAAGTGAATCCAAGAAAATGATGTAGCTTTTCAAGTAGACATTGTTAAAATTACAATATTCTAGATAAGTGTTTTGTGCATAGTGATTTTTAAAAAATGACTGTTTCAGATGGCTTTAGCAATGCTGTTGCATAGATGCAATTAAAGAAGTTGTTTTCTTTCAGTGTGACGTCAACCTAAAATGGCCACAATGTTCTTGCAGTCTTGCATGTTCTTGCAAAGTGCCTATCAGTCAATGCTTCTTATAAGCACAAATGTCTTACTGTAGTAAATTTTAGGTGTCTTTTTTTTTTTTTTTCCTAAATAAGAATGTTAGATTCATAAGAGATAAGACATGGCACTAAGATGTGTGTTATAAATCTGCTTTCTTAGCAACTGAATCATCCAAATGTAATTAAGTACTATGCATCATTCATTGAAGACAACGAACTGAACATAGTGTTGGAATTAGCTGATGCTGGGGATCTCTCAAGAATGATAAAGGTAGGAATTAACTTTTTTTTTTTAATTACTAAAATTTACTAATACTGAACTTCTTTGGTTGTTCTTTGTCTGATCATTGCTGGGTTGAATGTGGTTAAAATAGCAGGAAATGTGGAGAAAAGTGGAGTGTTATTCTGACCTTTGTTTTTTTTTTTTTTTTTTTGTGCATACCCTATATTGATTTGCTTGGAAGTATGTTTTTTTTTAACACTACTGCTCACAATGTAAGTGCAGGTAACTAGACTTCACTTATAGCTGGGGAGAGGAAAAACCTTAAGAAAAGCACTGTCACCACCTTTCTGAGCAGTACCTTTTGATGCCTTTCCTGATTTCTGGCACAGTTGCATTTTTCTATACTTCATAATGGCCGTGAAAGCAGAAAAGGCTGGTGTCAAAAGGAGTAAGTAGTTTCTTCTTTATCTTCAGCTCTGACTGCCAATCACTTCAGCAAATAAAATAATGATTGAAATGGAAATGGCCACATCATTTTCTAGGTCTTAAATACTTATCTTGAGACTAACGAATGTTTTGAAAATGTATTTCATGATTTGCTTGAAATCATGTGTAGTGGCTGTGGATTATGGGTTAAGTGCTTTATTCTGTTCTACTTAAGCACTGGCTGATTGAGAATGTTTATCCAAGTTGTTTGAACTTCATGTGCTGAAACTTACATTAAGTTTTAACCAGCTTTTTTTATCTGATTGTCATCTGAAAATCATCTCCCCTGCTTCCCTACCCTTTTTCCTTTGAGTCTGAGTTTTACTGTGTTCCCTTGGTGCACACACAAGAAAGTATACCAACATTATTGTTGTCAACACAGCGTAACACTGGGAACGAATAACAGCAGTCAGTTACTACTCTCTCAGCAACATCTGGGTACACGGCAGTGTTCTCCTGTTTCATTGAGAACCTACATGAAGGGAGAATGTTATTTTCTTTCTTAATGACTTACATGCTGATTTCTTTTTCTGTGAACTCTGGAAGAGTGTTGTCTTCTAGATTGATAGCTGTACAGTGGGACAGTCAAAATTTGGTTCTAAACAGGTAGACAGTATTCTGTTTTTATATATATATATATATATATATATATGTATTCATATGTATACGAATCTGATATTTTTCTTTGTCTCATGAATTATTAATTTTGTGGGGTTACATTTCATAAAACATAAAGGCAGGTTTGTCTGTCTTTTGAGTGTTCAGTTTTGACACAACAGTTATTAATATGAGTATTCCATGAGAGATTGCCTTATGGCATGTCTGGTCTTATGACCCATTGAAGCTTTTTCTCCCCCTTCACTTTATTTATTTTTTTTTTTTTTTGTTTAAATCCAGTGTGTGAATAATGTCTCCTCCGGTGCAGTTGGCCTCATTACCCCTTGTCCAAGTCAGTGGGTATTTCATACCGGCTCGATCTTGGAGGCAGTTTGTGATTGTCCTCTTAACACAAGGATCATGTTTAATGTAGCAAACTTAGATTGCTGTTTGATGTTAATGACAACCTATCAGGCAATTATTAAATATGTATGAGGTGTCACAATGCGCTCAGTCTTCATATTGCTTATGGAGAAAATGAATTGGTAGACTGGATGATATCAATGTAAGTGTGGGGGCTTCAGTTACAATGTCTTTTGAACAAAATATTGTAAAAATTGCCCGAGAAATAAATAATAGGTAATGATGTGGAAAACTTTCTAGCATAATGTCTGCCTGTCATGTTACTAAAGTAAATATGTTGTGTTATTAAGCAAGCAAGCCGTGCTTCGGTTTCCAGTATTGCTAGACTGCTGCTCTAAGTTTGCAAGAGGATGTAGAGGCACCCCAGAGGAATGTTTGGGTATTTGGCTGCTGTGTGATTTGTAGAAACAGGGGTGGAACATGTTTTTTATAATTGTAAATGACCGTGGCTTGAATGACACTGAAACTAGTGTTAACATGAGGAAAACTACTTAACTGGTTTACTTGGGTATTTGTTACTACATTATTGGCACATCAGAGAATGCTTGCAAAGCTGTGGTGGCTCAAGGGCACCTTAATGAATTCTTTAGTTCTTCCCTTAATGAACTAAGTCCTCCCAGTCCAGCTTTTGTACTGTCCCTCTTGTTACCTGTAAATAATACTCTCTTTGTCCCCATTGAGTAGACAACTGAGGAAAATCACTTGATGCATTCATACTGGGGACCAATAATGGATTCTAATAGAATTCATAGAATTTGATGTATGGAGGAGGGAAAAAAAACACCTCTGCATTGGCATTTACAAATCTCATCATGAAATAAGGAACATCACATGAACATTCGCTTTTCTCCCTCTACCTCCTCCCCCCACTCCGATTTAATCCAGGAATTCAGTAAGAGCTTCGCTTTATCACCCTGCTCTCATTTTCACACAGATGCATTTCTGTACAGCCTCTCTTCTCAAAAGTAGAAAGTCCAAAAGTGAGAGTTTTTTTTATCTTAGTTTTTAATGGCCACATTCTTGAACATGTCATGTTAGTAACACGGGAAGAAAATCAAACCCTGTCAGTTTGGGAAACAGTTGTTTGTCTTAGCATTGGTATTGCACTGAAACTTACACAGCTCTAAGCTGAGCAAGCCTTGTGTAGGCAGGGTGAAAGGAGGAAGAAGTCCCGATCTTCTGTGTCTGTAAGATTGACTGCTGGATAGCGTTGCACTGAAGATTTTAAAAGTAAGTAATTAGTAACTGCTGTGTCTGCTTCCACTTCCTTGCAATCTACTGACTGTCAGTGCCTGTGATCTCTACTGGGGAGTGTGGCAATCTTAAGATAACACTGCTCCCAGAGTTAAGGGTAGTCACAGTCCTGTTATTACCATGTAACATCACCTCTTGTTGTGGTATAAAATAAGTTGTAAGGCAGCTTTGGGGCTTGATCTCCTGTTCTGTTAGTGACTGCACAGCACAGTGACAGGGTTGTTTTGTGGTGGCGAAACTGTGGACTTAAGAAAAAATAAATTTGAAACCACTAAAAAAACAGCTGCTATATATTGGATAAGGAAAATACCATTAAAAAAAAATAAATGAACCTAATGGCATTAGCCAAGGAAATATATCAGAATGGATCAGTATCAGAATATATCAGTAGAAAATAAAGAAAAACGTAACCAGAACTGGGGAGCAAAGTCTGTGCTGATGATGCTAAAATGATAGCACTTGAACAATATTGAAGAATAATTAGGATATTTTATTTAGAATTTAAGTAAAGAACTTTCAGCTCTGCTTCCCTTTTGTAGATATTTTTAGCTATTTTCTGGCAAAAATGTTAGTGCTCCAGGAAAAAAAAAAAAAAAGCGAACTTGTAACTGAATATATCATTCTGATCTTCAGGAAGTTAATCATGTTTTGGGAACAAGCATGAAAGCTTTCATCTAAAAAGCTGAAAACATTAGCAGCTTTCTTAAGAAATAGAAAGAAACGGAATTCTACCGAATGTCACCTGTGCGCTTCACCCATTATTCAGTTGTATTTTTTTCCGCGTAACATTTAAAGAAAATAAACATTGCTATCTAAATAAAATAAACAAATATTTTAAAACATAATAAAGTTCTTTAAAACAGTATGAGCTCCATACTGATTTCTCAGGTTTCTGTAGTTGGAGGCAGCGTGTTCTTTGTCCTTGACCAAATGTGTGTGTGTGCATTTATATATTTAATAGGACAATCAAAACAGTGACAGTCATAGGTAGCACGTCTGAATTGCTGCTTGTGGAGTTGCCGTAGCTTCATCTGTGTTTAGACTTTTTTATTTGTCTTGCTGATTATCATTTTGACGTTTCACCTGTTCCGGTTATTTTGGTCTTTGCTATGTGAAATTGCATCAGGCAGGTTCTCTCCTGGGATGCACACCTTTCCACCTCTCCCCATGCCAAAATATATCGGGAATGAACTGTTTTGGAACTTATTTGCAGTGTTAAGGGCGTACCTCAGGCTTTTTGGTACAATTCAGAGCAGAGCTGGTCTGTTACTTTGCTTCTACAGCATTATGGGCCAGCTTTCATTTCAAGAGGAGCAGAATTGCTGCTTCAGTCACGGACAGCTCTGTCAGCCCAGAGTGCTGATGTTGCTGACGTGAAGCTGCTGCAAATCCCCATGACTGCAACCATGAATGCTGTATGGTGTGTGGTTACCAGGGTGAGGTGATGGGGAATGCTGATAGCACATGCTAGTGATAAGTTGATTTTTTTTTTTTTTTTTATTTTTATTTTTTATTTTTTATTTTTTTTTTTTTTCTTAATTGCAGAAGTGATAAATCTCTTTGCTGTGCTAATTGGAGGATTTAGGGGAGTGTAAAGCTGGGATAGCAGTTGTGGAAGGAAGTGATGCAGGGTCAGAACAAAGCAGATCAGCTGTTACCTCTGCCCAGGGCACGACCTAGTGTCTCAGGAGACTGTCAGCTACTAACTGACTAGATGGGTTGGCTGTTGCTTGTTTATACAGAGTATTGATTGGCAGTTGCAGCAGTTGTAGGAGATGGTTGGCCTCTGTGTTTGGCAGGCTGGTGGGACAACAGTGCTGTTTTCAGTGTTGTTTGGGTGGCAGTGCTCCAGCTGCAGCATTGTGCTGCCCACCCAGCTGTGTGTGAACATGTTTCGTTCTGACAAATCAAAAACAAGTTCATACCAAAATGTTCCATGCCAGCTGACTGTGTTTCCAGAAAGTGTGATTTAGTTGAAGACTAAGGAAAAATCCATGATTCTGCCCAGATGTGATGTTTATTTGTTTTAAAATCTAGTAAGCATTTTGTCTGAAATGCTGTAGCCCCTTGTGAATTGAATCAGATGTAAAACTTGAGAAGTGGGTTTTTCTTACCACAATGGCCGTGAAAACTCACCTGAATTCAATTCTTACAGAAGAGTTTGTATGTGCTTTGCAGAAATGCTGGGTCACAGCAGCCAAGGTGGTGATGTCCCTCCATGGAGAGCTGCACAGACCTCTTGCATCTCCTAGTGCTGACAGCATTGCGTACCACCTGAGTGAATGAAT